ATAAAATAAAGCAAACATTGAAGCACATAGTGGATTAAATCTGAAATATTGTAACCTCACCTTCCCCTGGTCCACCCCCACTGCCGCCTTTCGGTGTGATGAGTTCCCTCCTCAGTTTGGCTAGACGTGCTTTGAGCAGACCCAAGTGGTGAGCTGTGGCCTTGTTCTTTTGAGTCCTGGTCATCTACAATAAAATGTAACAGTGGAGTGCATGACAGTGTTGTAATAAGTAACTTAAACTGTCTGATTTATTTCACAACAAAAGGCTGGTAGCTTGTTCGATCATTTTTATTGTATGCTGAATCATTTTAAAGCCAACAACTAGAAAGGTTGTTTAAAGTTTCCAATTGATTAAATACACTTTTTATGTATTTAAGTTCATAATAACGAAGACTATGTTACACTCACAATACATGCCCTTAATTAAATGAGAACAGATTTGACTGACGACTACTTTTTCAAGGATTTTGGAAATTTAAGAATGATTAAAGATAGGACAGAGATTATTGAAGATAAAGTGGTCAAGACCTGCCTATTCTCATGACTGGAATAATGGCAGCAGACTTAAAAGCCTTGGGAATAATTTCAGAGGAAAGAGAGAAGTGGATATATCAGCGATGACAGCGACAGAAAGGAGAGACAAGATTTTACAGAGATTGTGGGAAAAGAATCGAGCTGACAGGCGAATAGGATGGAGAAGATGGAGCAGACGGAAAAGGGGATAATACAGTATTTCACAAAACATGACCATAATTAACAGCGTTCGTTTGTGTTTTATGTTGTGCACCTCTAAGCTACCATAGTTTTTCCAGCCCTGTCTACACTACAGCAGTGGTTCCCAAACTTTTTGTCTTCTGACCCACAAAATATCCATGGCAAAAACTTGTGTCCCCAAATATTACTGGTCCGAGTACATGAATTCATTAATAACCCTAAAAACACACACTTTTTGACAATCTAAACAACTTGTACACAAATATAAATACTTATTGTTACTTAGTTTGTGTTTTTGTAATAATTTTAGGGAAAATATTACATCAGCAATTATTTTATTACCCTTTAAATTGATTTCTGGAGATTATTCAAGGCACTTCACGACCCATAATTGGGTCCCAAGCCCAACTTTGGGAACCAAAGTGCAGTGGTTCCCTAACTTTTCAGCTTTTGACCCACAAAATAACAGTAGCAGAGACCTGTGCCCACAAATATTTTTGTATGATAAACATTTGTATCAGGTCAACTAAACATGGGCATAGTAACAATATTTTTATACTACATTTATCCATTTTAAATATACTAACCTCACTCCTTTGTCACAAATAAGGCAAAAATGTAATTAATTCAGAAAATCTTTTCTGGACCCCACCTTGATGTTTTGGGACCCCACTTTGGGTCCCGACCCAAACTTTGGGAAACACTGCACTACAGGATTATTATAAACTAGAGTTTGCATTTTCCCTCAGATTAACAACCATTTAGCTCTAACTCACTATGAAAACAGATAACTGTCAGTCAAACTAAGTTACAGATTGACATCCATTGTTTCATTCAAAAAAGATCTACATTTAAATAAATTCACAAAACGTAGTTCTTATAACATTTTTACGAGTCGAAAAGCTAGCTGGTCCTTAACATGCAGAGCAAACATATTTTTGCTGTGGTGGATGGATGTTTAGCTAGCGTTTCATGTAGCCTTAGCTGTGTTAGCTAAAACGTGACAAACTCAACGGGTTCACAAAGCGTCAATTTTCGACTCACCTCATTTTCGATTTCTGCTATTTTCGCCAGTATACTCATTGTGACGATTGTTCCGGTGCACACTTCACGTTAAGAATTATTTCTGGGCAGATTTTACATGAATATGGCAAAAGTCTAGCCACCTAGCATGAGCCCGCACCACACCGACGCGGCTACTTCCAGTGAAATCTCGCGAGATCAGAGATTAGTCTCTCACTGTGCTTTGCCCGACGCTTTGACTCGCAGGGAAAATAGGGTTGTTTTTATCTGAAACAAAATTCTATTTAATGGGAAATGTTTTTACTTAATGAATGTTTTAGACGTAAAATAAATGTTATTTGTTTGTATTTTAATGAAATTACTTTTATTGAAGTACATATAATTATTATTTCATTATATGCAAGAAAAATCCAGTATCTAATTATTTGATGATCACATTGTATATAGGCTACAGCAATATTTTTGTATTTAGAAGACATAATTTCTTGTTGTAGAAGTCAGCTGACCAGGTTAGAAGTCAGCCGACAAACCTCCAGAGTAACATGGCTTCTGGACCTGACTGTGTACCACCCAGGGTGCATCCCAGCTTTGTGGAGTACTGCAATAAGTCTTCAGTAGGAGCCTGAGTCTCCAGAGAGTCCCAGACATCTGCATTGTTCCTGTTCCAAAAATGTTGCGACCCAGTGACATCACATAGACTACAGGCCAGTGGCTCTTACATCCCACGTCATGATGGAGACAGCTCCTGCCCATTGTCCAGCCACTTCTAGACTCCATTCAGTTTTCATATCAGTCCCGGCTAGGAGTAGACGATGCCATCATCTACTTGCTGAACTGAGTTTATGCCCACCTGGACAAGCCCAGCACGGTGAGAGTTCCCTTTCAGTCAATTCACTCGGTACAACATCATGTATGGGAACCACGCCCCTGCGTGTCCTGGCTGAAGCCACCTCTAATCACGCCTTTAGGCAGGTGACGTGATGACGACAGATGTCAGGCTCCGCCTGCACATATAAATATTGCGTTTTGCCGCCTGCTTCGACGCTCAACTCTGGAGAGACGGGTTAAGTTCTTGGAGAAAGTGCTGGGCGAGGC